TCTTTCCCTCTTGCTTTGCTCCATGCACAGCGAGGTTATAACAAGCTGCTCTCTAGGAGGGTTCCATCAGTCCGGTAAGATAATAGCTAGCTCCTTCCCAGTGTGCCGGCTCCATTATGCCACCATTTTTCTCCCAAGCCTATGAAAGTATGACACTGGTTGATATGCTCTCTTACTGTGATACATAGGGAAGAATCAGTAGTTAGCTCTTCTTTGCAAATTTCATTGCATAAAATGTCTGGGGAAGCTGCGTTATTATAGAGGAACTATTTCACTTATGCTGGGAAGATTGTTCACAAAACAAATAAACCAGAAGGTGGCTTCCCCTGTGCTCTAGTGGAACTTGGGCTTGTAGAGAAATAGGAACTCATTTACAACACTGGGTCAATCTATGCAAATTAAGCATTACAAAAAAAAATTATTCCGAAGAGTTCTGTCTCTAATAGGGTTAAAAACTCTCCTTGTTAAATGTTCCAGCCCAATAAAAAAGATAGATATGGAGGCAATTTTCTTTTAGATGTTTGTGTCTCAAACTAAGATCAGAAACTCCCTTCCACTATGAAAAAATCCATACATTCAAAATGGATTTGAAGTGGCTTAAAACGAAACACACACCCGCAATAAAACTTTGAAAATAAGGGTACAAAATATAATAAGAGTCGATTGGCAGAGGATAGAGGTAGCGAAGACTGCTTTCCTCTAAAAAGTATTTCAAAGGCTGTAAATGACAAAGAGCTGACTTCTCCACACACAGTAAATCTCAGGGGACAAAAAGGAAACTCAGTAAAATTTGTTGACAACAGTTAATGCCTGTAAGAATAATTGGCTCAGACACAAAACAGACCATCAGCGTAGCTTGGGGAGGACCAAAATGCCGCCTCTAAGTCATTGTTAGTATACACTGTATTCAGCTGAGAAAAGATAAAGTTTTATCAAATAGGTGGGTAAATATGAGGTGAGAATTGTCCAAAGTGCCTGACGAACCTAATTCTTGATGATTCTGAAGACTAAGGTCCCAAACAAGTCATGCCATTCCATTCATCTGGATTCCATTCAGTTCAGTCCTGCCAGTCCAGCAATCAAATTAGAGCTGCAGCTATGTCAGCCAGGCATTGAGCTAGGTACTGGGATTCAATGGCAAATAAATATGGCCTTTGGTATCAAGGAGCCCATTGAGAGGGCAGATCCGGGTTAGGTGATTTCAAAAACTGGGAAAAAGTATTCAGGAAAAGCATAAAGGACTATAATCTATTCTTCCATGATTAGTTTTCTCTATGACACTTGCTAATATTGATACTTATTTTTTTTAATCTCCCAACTAGACTGTGAGTTCCTTGAAGGCAAAGTTAATCTCTCGTTCATTTCTAGGTATCTCACTCATGCCTCGTACTGTGTCTTACACATAGCAGATGCTCCATCAATGTTTTGAATTAAAGAATTTAAAGGGGTTAACTTCTCTTGGGCAAAAAGGCTAGTCCAGTTGACTAGAAAGTTAATAAGAATACTTTGGTGCATGAGGGTTTATGTCAGACAGATAATTTACATTAAGTCATGGAGTTCTATAAGGCAGAACTTATGAAACCTAGACTCTCAATAATAATAAAACACAATTTATAAAACCACTTTCTATCCAAAGTCATACTCTAAACATTAAGAGTTGCCATGTAGAACCTTCCCCTTTCAAGTTACTAAAATGGAATTAAAACACATTTGCTAAACTTTGATCCTTGGAGTAACAGAATGCCTTTCAGTGCGTTGAAATCAGTTTCCATCACAGTTGTCCAATACTCTTAACTATCTGTGTGAACATATATAAGTATCATATGGTTACTTGGGACCAAGTTATTTCTTTCCATTCTCATTTTCAATCATTTAATGCAAGCATCACAGTCATAAAAGATCCAGTTTCCATGCACTGTGCATGGAAATCCTGGAGCATGTCACACTGAACATCACAATTCAACCTGGCACATAACACAAGACACTTGGGGGCTTGGCAATCACTTAGTGAACTGGGTAAAAGGAAATGGCACAAATGGATTATCAAGACAAAAAAATCCTCTTGGGCATAATAAGTGAGAAACACTTATCCATCTTTTAAAATGTGGATCAGTAGTAGAAAAGTAAAGAATAGTGACAGCCCATCGTTGGGTGACGTTGATGTGACACATTTGCCTTCCTCAAGATATTCTGAAGGTAAAACAAGCCTGCTATTTGAAAAGCACTCACCCAATGAAGGCTTTCATCTGCATAGCAACAGAGAATGGGATAGAATCACTTTATTGCCAGAAAAATAAATGAATTCACTCAAAGCATTGGCTGGAAACAGAGAGTGGGAATTTACCCATTCAAAGAGTAGAAAGCACTTCTCACTTTCTGTCACTAGTTGTTGAAAAGCTATTTGTCACCAAATCTACAATGAGTACAGACCATCAACACGCCTATCAGCCTCTTCCTTCCCATGCTCCGTACTCATCCCGGACTGCTACACACAGACCCCTCCTTCCAGTCTCACACACACACACACACACACACACACACACACACACACACACACACACACACCCTTTCCTGGGAAGATGAGAGAGACTTGAAGTTTGTGAGTCATCACAGGAGCTATTCAAAGCCTAGTGGGTAACTGAGGTAAGCTGTCTACACTTAAGCAATATGAACCTCTAAGAATGATTCATGGTCCTGAGGACCTGAGAGTCAGTTTCCTGAAACTCTCTAAACTTCCAAAGAATTATACAGAATGAGCATCTGGCTTCCCATCAGTGTCCTGTAGTATACAATGAGACAGATGCCTCTGAGGTAGGTTCTTTAAATGATCTGTTCCCTCAGGTAGCACGGACTCTTGTTTGTGTTAATTATTTATTTGCAAGTGTGGACTTGGCTGTCTACTTTTTATTGACTGTTGACTTTTTAATCACCTGAGACCTACTTATGGGATAAGTGACCTTGCACTTGTCAGAAACCCTTTTCCAGATGGAGACATCACTGGAGAGCCCCAGAGAAGAGCGAAGTCAAAGGAAGGCAATAACAGAGACTCAAGGTCAGTTTGAATGGAGGGCGAATTAATTCAGCATTTCAGCTTACATTGAGTGAGAGCCTGTGTATTTGCAAACGTGCCTTTCAGCAAGGTTCACCTTCTGTGTGTTCCTGGTGATTTCATATCCCGTGGAGACATCTGGGAAGGGCCCCTCCATTCTTTGCCCAAGTCCACCTTCCCAGTTTCCTCCAAATAACCTAGCACTTAAAACAGCCCTACGTGTTCACATATATTGCTACGTGCACTCACAGATCTCAAAAACTGAAACCTTAATCCTCCAGGGCCATTTTGTCACACCTTTCCACTGGAAGGAATGGAAGAGTGAGGGTAGAGCAGCATAGTTGCAGGAAAGCTCAGTGGGAAGTCGTTAAAAGACAAACTGCTAAGGAGGAAAATTCCATCTGAAATCTGCAAAACGTGCCACAGCCCCACTGAAACACTAGGCTCGCTTTAAGGTGAGGAATCTCGGAGGCTGAGGACGGCTGCCAGCCGTGGGCAGTCATTCAGTTCTTCACATACTCCCTGCGGTTGTAAATCCACAGAGCAGTGAGAAGGAGGCTACTTACTGAAATAAAAGCCCCTGTCTCCGCACACGAACTGAAGGGCGTCCACCAGCTCAGCCCCACAGAGGGTCTCGGGTCCAGCCGTGGCAGAGCTGGTGAAGGTAAGCAAGAACACGGCCACGTAGAAGAGATGCGAGGAGGACGTGATGTGCATCTTCACCTGCCGAAGAAGCAGAAGGAGGGTCATGCTTCCTCCTGGGTCCTTGCCAGGAGATGGGGGTGAGGCAGGGGCGCCTTTACCCTCAGTTCTCCATTCCTGTCATTCATCAAAACTACCCAGTCCGAAGTGCAACAAGGTGTGTGAGTGACCGCAGGGCAGCGAGGGCTGAGCAGGTCTTGGCATCAAGCAACCTGAGTTTAATCCTCTTGCTACTGTGGAACCTTGGGGAAGTCCTTCCTGAACCCCTTCTTTATGGGTTCCTATTACAATTCAGTGTGAACGTGAAAGATGCTATTACTGCAGTGGGATCCCACACCGCTCAGAGATCCTGGTAAACCTTTGGAATCATCAAAGGTTAAATCGTGCTCAGTCCAGATTTGGGGCCAAATATGTTTTATTCATTTAAGTTCTCTCAAGATTGGCCATCCACAGATAGCATGTGCATTCATTATCGACCAGAATATTAAATTAACCAGAACATCATTCCCCAGCTACTGATTAAAGAGAATTTACTGCAGCTGAAAAAGAACTTGTGAAAATACTATATATCATCACAGTTTTTTTTTTTTTTTTTTTTTTCACTTGAGAGAGAGACAGAGACAGAGAGAAACAGAGGCAGAGAAAGAGAGACTGAGATTTCTTACCTGGGGAAGATCAGCAGTTAATAACTACAAGCAGAAGTTAAAAATCAGGAACGGGAAAAATGTGAGGATTTAGGAAGGAAATTGGCTTATGCTAAGTAGACCCCATGCCTCCTTCATTCTAAAGCCCCTCGTGTAAGCTCTATATCAGATCAACACACATGTGGACTGTACCTTCCGTGAACAGGGCACTGGGCTCAAAACCTGCAAAAGCCTTTTTTTTTTTTTTTTTTTTTTTTTTAAGTCACAGGAATTCATCTCTTGGAGGGACTTATGTGTCACTGTAACCATTTTATAGCAGGAACCCCTGGTTGGCTTGACTTAGCAAATGATAGACATCCAAATGGCAGCCCTGCCAGAAGCAGGATTCCTGTGGCTCAAGTCTCCATCCTCACTCTCAGCGGCAGAAACAATGCGAAGGTGATCACTAAGTTTTTCCATATTGCTACTTGTGGCACCAAGATGTGGTTTCTTCTAGGAAGCCTCCCAAGGTGAGTTGCTTCACCCGCCTCAGATGCATTCGCTCTCAGCAGCATCAGCAGAGTCAGTGACAGGATGTTAAGCGAGGGACCCTATCAAGAGGTCATGTAGTTAAGCTGGAAGCTATCATTATGAAAAGAGGCTTTTCTGAACCTCCCAGTGGTGGCAGGTCCATTTAACCCCATCACTTTTGGAGAAACAGACTCAGTCATTTATTTTCCAACCACCTTCCTTGCCCTCCATGGACTCTTAACTTAATGGCTGTCTACATCAGTGGCAAAGTTTGCTCCATCACTGTAATTAAGATTTCCATTTTTGTGGCCAGACTTTCAGCTCAGCAATTGAGAAAAAAAACCCTAAACCCCTGACTCTTGTTAACACAATGTAAATATTTAGTTAATGCTTGTAAAACTGTGGAAGATGAAAAGCCTCCTCTATTTGCAAATCCTCATAAATAATGGACATAAAATAGAAGAGGAGGTGAAAGCTTGATGGAACATTTCTTCCATTTTCTCCATAGGACCTGTTCATGGAAACCCTCCACCCCCATGTAGCCAAAGCCACAGAGACGGCTAGAAACAAGTCATCCAATCCTTGTCTTTCTTATTTATAAAATAATAATTGGTGGGAGCTTTCCCTTTCAATATTTCCAGTGGAAATCTCAGCCAGTCCAACCCAACTGGACTTCCTTGCCCTTTTCAAAAGAGAAAACTCATAATTGATCTTACTGGACATACCCCACACTCTGGCAATGGGCCAGTTCTAGAATGTATGTTATTTTGCCAATCCTATTTCTTCATCCCTCCTTCTCTGTTGATTTAATAGTGATGCTTAAGGCCAAGCACCTGCAACTGCAGATGCCTTCAAGTTCTTCAGTTCTCGTGAAATCCAGGGGAAAAGGTACTCAGCTTATAGCCTTAGTGAATTGAGAACTTCATTAGAGGTCAGAATTATATTTTAGTAGTTATTTATTATATATGACACATTTAAACCCAGCAATACATATAAATCTCTAGCATTTAAGAATTTAAGATTTATTTTTTACAGATTTTTCCTTTCTTTTTCTTTCTTTCTTTCTTTTTTTTTTTTTTTTTTTTTTTTTTTTTGTTGAGTTACGTTCTAAGATAAACACCAGCACTTACAGTTCTAGGACAAGATAGAACCTCTAGTGCATTTGCCTTTAGTTCAGGGAACAGTCCAGTACACCCACAGAGAACCAGAGAATTTATCACATTATGTTCCCCGGAAAGAAAACAATAAGGAACTGGCTTAGGAGTTAAAAGTTCGAAACAAGTGGCCCCATATGTTCATCATTTCCTGGGCCTTTTATTTTTCCCAACACAAAAGAAATGAAGAGAGAGAAAGGAAAGATCAAGAAGGAGAAAGAGAAGAGAAAAAAGAAAAAAATTGCAGAGCACTCTTTCCCCCAAATCATTCACAAATCCAAAATTTAAAAGACCTTTCTTTTTATCTTAAATAAATGGAATATCAATTGATTCCAGATGTTTGGGCTACAATGAAAATGCCCAGCAAAATTTGAGGGCAATAGTCATAAGAAAATACTCACTGTAGGTGTAACCATTTTTGTTCCAGATCTTTTACAGCAGGTCAGGGTGGGTATTATGAGACTGATGTGAATAAACTGAGGACTTAAAAGCATGTGCTGCTTTGTGGGTGGGGTTTGTGAAAGCATCTAGTTACATTTGGACACCCAGGCAGGTATGCTATGAGCCCATTCACAAACCAAAATTTAAAAGACCTTTCTTTTTATCTTAAATAAATGGAATATCAATTGATTCCAGATGTTTGGGCTACAATGAAAATGCCCAGCAAAATTTGAGGGCAATAGTCATAAGAAAATACTCACTGTAGGTGTAACCATTTTTGTTCCAGATCTTTTACAGCAGGTCAGGGTGGGTATTATGAGACTGATGTGAATAAACTGAGGACTTAAAAGCATGTGCTGCTTTGTGGGTGGGGTTTGTGAAAGCATCTAGTTACATTTGGACACCCAGGCAGGTATGCTATGAGCCTGGGTAAACTGCCTTTTGTCCATTCCGACAATGAGCAAATTGCACGGCTGGGATTCGAGTCAATCTTTTCCTCCAAATCAAGCCACCAGTTTCCACTGTGTGCCTATAGTAGCCGCCCTGGACAGTGACCCAAGCTTCAGTCCTCTCCTGTGCCCTCTTCCTTCTGATTCAAACACTTGGAAATATCTTGAGACTCAGAGTACAATCAGCTTGCTAGTTCTGCCTGGCAGACACCTTTACTCATTGAATTACGTTTGAAAGACCACGTAGCTCCCTCAAACCACTTCCTGCTCCAAGTACAGGAAAAAGCAACAACTTACGGCTAGCCCTACCTCTGAACAGTTCAGCATACACAACATGGAAAGTTCATTTGGAGTTTTCCAAACCTGTAATTAATGCAGAGATAACACTCCACAGCCTCTTTTAAGATCATCTAAGCAGGGAGACAAAGCCCCCAGCTATCAGACCACATAGCATATGTGTATATTGACTTCATTTCTTTTAAAAGCAAGGTAGCCGGCATGCATCTTGGCATCTCAAGTGCAGCAGAATCAGGTGCCTGACAAGGATGTATCCTTAACTCCTAAGCCACTTACTCGACTAGGAAAAGTCCTAGTGGTGGAGTATTTGAAAGCAGCAAATGATTACCGTACTAAGTGGTAGGGACGTTTTATGAATTGAGCCCTCAGGCAATTGCATCGGGGAGCCAGTGACAGCGGCTTAAAAGTGCTTGCAAATTGGAAAAACACAAGTCTTGAGAGATATAATTTTGCTGAGAATGGAAACTTGAACTAGGGCCAGTGATTGGGAACGAGAAGTCAGTGCATTGACAACGCCAGCCAAATTTACCTAAAGAGACTTTACAACACTGAGTATAAAATCAGAGTTTTACAACACAAAACCCCAAGTCCAAACTTCGCCCCTGAGAATCCTCTTCAAAAGAAAAAACTTGGAATAGCAGTTGCTAGAAAGTTTCCGCTTTCCATATACAGTATGCATTTGTTTAAATTATACGAATGTGCAAGGTCAGCGAGAGTTCTTAAGGAGTTCTTTTTCAGAAGAGCAAAGTAAACTTCACTCTAACTTTGACTCTCTGGGCGTAAGTGCAGAGAGTTCCGGGACCTTCGCTCCAAAGATCACATTTAAAAGCTTTAATATCATTTAAAATGTAACTCTTTGTATGTGGCATGCCTTGTAATAAAAGTCCTGACAAGTTACACACACACAGATACATACACACACAGTCCTACATACACACGAACATGGTCTTAAAAATAAAACATCTGCACCTGCAAAAAAAAATCCAAAAGTTCATATCCATGCTCCACAGCCCTTAACCATAGACAGGATTTAAAGGAATCTTCTATAATGACACCACTCAAGCCCTGCAGAAGTGGAGGATTTAGCATAAGTACCTTGCGATAGTTTTTACTCATACAGATATCTGTGCAAAGGCATTTATCTCCCGGAGCTATTTTTTCAGATCCCACAGAATTGCATATTCAGCAATTTATAAATAACTCGCAGTGCCGAAACAATGAAAATTCTAAAGTGAAGAACATCTCTAAGCAGAAGCAAACAGTACACAGTTTAAAGAAAATTCCCCAATGACTTCAAAGAGTAAGAAATATTTACCTTCAAGAAATCACAAAAGCAGCACTTAAATAATTGGGTTGGAAGACTGCTGAATTTCCCCATTGCTTCTGAAGTGCAAAGTCTGGAAATGAATTGGTTAGCAGGAATAATGAGGCAGAAAGAAATCCAGGGAGATGGGAGATGTTGAGAGCAATGTCACATTTCAATTTTGAGGACTTTATTCCATTGCGCAGGCTCTATCTGCTCTGAATTTAGCAGTGACAGTGAGATTTAGCAAACAGAAGAGGGATTTAGAGAAAATCCTCACATTTATCTACAAAACACAGACACTGTAGACAGGAAACAGCTGGGGGAACGCTTGCCTTCTCTCTCTCTCCCTCTTCTGGCAAAGTTATCGAGTAAGGACTTTTTTGGGCATGGTGACAAATAACATCATACCTTTGCATTTTAAAACTAGAGCACAGAAGCATTTTTTCCCTTAAAAGAATGCGTGTTAGTGACAGGGTGAGCAGACATTAAAATACCAGTGCTGTCCTCTGATTAACTTTCTACTGGGCAGGAAGACACACACATCTGCTAATACACCTTACCAGTATGAAAGGAACATACTTGGAGGATGGGCAAGCAATTTTATATTCCAGAGCCAACGCAAAATTAAAAAAAAAAAATGAAATGAAAAAAAGACCATCTCAAACATACCCTACAATTTTAACCCTCAAATGACTGGGGTAAACTAGATTGGAAGACAGTGCTGGGATGACCCCTTGTCCTAGTTGCCAAGTGAGGGGAATGATCTCATTTCCTAGAACCTGGAAAGGGGCGGGCAGCTTTGCAGTTGGCTCCCTTTAGGACACTGTCTAATGCTTTCTGCCCACGACAGGGCAAAGATTTTGCTGAGCTGTAAAGCCAACTGAAATAATAAAACAAAATCTTTTTCTTCCTTCCTCTACTCTGTTGGTTATCACCCCCAGCCTCACCCCAGGGGAAGGGCACCTGAGGGGAAAATGATTTTCCTGTCGTTCATATTTTTCTGCATAACTTGATCCTGAGTGTGTGTGTGTGTGTGTGTGTGTGTGTGTGTGTGCGTGCGTGCGCACGCGCGTGCGCACATGAGTGCATTTTATTTCTCCAGTTTTTGTGTATTCTAAATAACACCAGCTGGCTAGCAATACCCTCTCAAGGGTTATGATGTCATTCAAATCTCTCAACTGGATGAGTGGCCGGCAACATGGTCCAAGCCAGCTGTTTTGCTATTTATAATGTATACTTGCCTTTGCCATTGAGAATCAAGTTCTGATCTTTTGTCGATAGAGTTTGCACCAATTTCTCTTCGGTCTTGCGAAGTAGGAGATAAGAAAGTAGATTATGAAATAAGGCTGCAAAAGCCCAGGTCGGACATCCCACTTTCCCTAGAGGTCTGTCGGGGCATATGGTTCCCCAGGGACGGTGGAAATAGTCTGGACCTTGCCTCTCTCTCTTGTGATTCTCAGGAGACCCAGTGATACTGACACATCGACTCAAAACAGAGGTCTGCTGGAAACCCTTGTCTGGGTATTTATGTTGTCCTGTGGCCAGGAAGTTGTTTGCAGAGGTGAGTGCCCTCGAAGGAAAACCCGATTGGTTTTGAAAGGGGGTTGAGTCTGCTCAAGGCTTCTCTGTGATTCATAACTTGTGGCAGTGTTTACCTTCGAGAAAGACAAGTTAGACGTTCGGAGTGATGCCATTGTAATGATGCAGTATATTCAGCATCAGTTAGTGAGTGCCTACTATGTGCCCAATAACATGCATCACAGTCAAGGCCCCACAGGGGCTTTCAGCTAAGTGGCAGAGACAGAGAGGAAAACTGCTGTCATGTGGAGGGTATGTGCTCTTTTAAAAATACGAAAAGAGCACACTTTCTCTGGAAAGACAGGGAAGTGAAACCCTGTTGAGAATCCAGGATGGGGGAGGAGGGGTGCGTCATGAGAGGCTCTGGGGTGCAAAGTTGGGAAGTTTCAGGGGATGCGATTTGACCTAAAGAGTCTACAAATATGCATCATCAAGAGGTGGCCGGGGAGGCATCCGTAGGTGTGTGGGCAATTCCTGTACTTCTAGAAGAATCCAAGACTTCCTTTAATTATCTCCCCTTCACACATTTAACTTAGGATCTGATTTACCGAAGATCTGTTTTTTTTCCCCCACAGCTTGGCAGATCACATCCTTCGTGGAAAAAAAAAAAAAGTCCAACTTCCTCTCATGGACTTTGATAATGTAGATTGTCTCACACGTAGAAAGATCTGCCATTTCCACGTGTGCAGAGTCAGGTACCCGCTGAGTCTTGGTGCTGGGTGCCTGGGTCCACCCCTGGGCACCTTCACAGGTAAAGACCGTGACTTTCCCATTGCAATTTTCCCTTGTTTTAGTCGTTCCAAGATGTCCTAGGAGCTCACTGCCCTCTCCAAGGCTGTACCCCAGTTTGATGGGCTCTTTTGGCACGCCGTGTGAACAGATCACCTTATCCCCAACCATTTCATGTAAAAGGCTGCTTCGGGAGACAGAATGCATACCGTTCCATCCGACAGTGGGCTCCTGCACTATCGACACACTGATTCACAGTCTCTTGGTTTTATAACCCCAATTACCCTTAAAGGATAATTGGGTTTTAATTTATGTCCCAGTTTTTATGTCACAATCAAAGAAAACTGAAATTTCAGTGAGTCGTAATTATCATCAGCTGTGCTGTGGAAACATTCCGATGTGAGCTCTCAGTTTCCAACAGGGAAAGCAATTTCCTGAAGTGATTACTGTATATTTCAATATGGAGAATGGTCTAGATTTCTGGGTAGGGTGAGCCAGCAACAGAGCAATAATTCCTAGGGAAATGGCTATTTTCTTGGCTAATTCCAGGAGTCAACATGAAAGCCAAAGGGCAATAAATGTGCCACATGATGACTTTTTAATGACTGAATCCTGCACCTGTTTAGGAGAAAAAGGGATGGATGCACCTATTACTGGAGGGCCCAAGGTGGTAGTAAATCTAATCCCTAGGAAAAGTTCAGGTCAAGAAGCCCCATTGGAGAGAAACATACAGGGTCATTCTAAAATTACTGAATGATTATGTAGTCTCCTGCCTGGAACAACCTGACGGTTAGATATGGGAATTGTGTGCCACCAAAATAGCAAGGATGTGCTCATCATGAGAACATCCACTCCTGGAAATGCAGAGATTCACAGTTTCACCTTTTGCATGTGTAGTGCCTGAGGGATATAAATAACTCTCCCCTAAAGCCTTCTTGAGTAGCGTATTTGCATAAAGCTGCAGTCTCAGAAGACTTCTGACACCTTTCTTAAAAATAAATGAATAAATAAAGTCGTTCATCTCCTTAAAGAGCAGGCTGATTGAGATTCACAGAAAGGGGTGGGCAAGCCCCTGTCCCACACTCTTTTTTTTTTTTTTTTTTTTTTTTGCAGTACGCCGGCCTCTCACTGTTGTGGCCTCTCCCGTTGCGGAGCACAGGCTCCGGACGCGCAGGCTCAGCGGCCGTGGCGCAGGGGCCCAGCCCCTCCCGCGGCATGTGGGATCCTCCCGGACCGGGGCACGAACCCGTGTCCCCTGTATCGGCAGGCGTACTCTCAACCACTGCGCCACCAGGGAAGCCCCCCGCCGCCACTCTTTTTGCTCGAGCCACATTCTCAGTCCTCCCCATGTCAACTGCAGAGTTGCTCATTCAAAAGCTCATCTCATATCCATGTGCAGTGGGGCAGACTTACAATTTATTTCATTAATGTCAGTGCTGACTCCTACAAAAAGCTTAGGATGGATATCTGGGGGTAAGAGGACTTTGTAACCAAATAACGGGTGAGGTTCAAGGCTTTGGGGCCACCCACCAAGCAAAGAACTTGGGGTAAACTACTGGGCCTGTCTCCTGGCTCACGGTTTGTGAGGAGGGTTGGTCTGGGAGCGTATTCTCCGATGTCTGAGATCAAGGTCTGGTCAATTCAGAATGTAAAACTCAGAGGAAAAGGCTGGGCCTCAAAAATACAACAGGCTGCTTAACAAGGGGACCAATGTCAGCTCCAAAAGATCTGCTAGGAAGAAACTTTGTTAGTCCTCAGAAAGATCTTTAGCTCAAAGGAACTGCTCTAAATCCTTAGAGGCGCTTTTTCCCCACAGCTAGGGAAAACAGTAATAGGGAGAAGAAATCCTCCCACTAAAGAAATCAATGCTTTCTTTTCAACATCAAACTCGGATCTTATTTCTTCTAAAATGTCCAAAGGGCCAATGCTGAGAACAGTCAGAAGCAAAACTTTTGTGGTTTGGGTAGCAAAAGAATTCTTCGTAATGGCAGATGAGGAGTCACTGCATGGGGCGAGGATGGCTTTGGTGGAGTGAGGGAGCCTAAGGGCTCACCACAATTGCCCCATGTTGAAAGGAAAGTGAGGAAAGGAGACACCAATTCCGAATTTCAGGGGCAAGTACCCAAAGAACGCTTTCTTTCGGAATCGAAAAATGTGCGCGCCCTCTGGTGGCCGTCTGGGAAACTGCCACCGCAATCTTCACCGTTGATGTGTGGAATTTGGGAGGCGCGGGGAGTTTTGCAAAGCTCGGGATTCAAATATACTTTAAATTGCACTTATCTTTTGAAACAAATAAGCTAGGTATTTAATTCACTCTAGTTTTAAAAAAGGGGAGAGTACTAATGGGAGAAAGGAAGATGATAAACTTTACGAGAGCAGGGATGGCTTCTCCACAGCTCTACTCCCAGGGCTTACCTTGGTATGGGCTCCAAATATTTTGTTGGTTGAATCAAAGTCTGGAAAATAAATGATGATAAAGGTAAACTATTTCACATAAAAGAGGTAATAAACTCTCTGAGAGTTAAATGACCAACTTCTTCATTTTATAAATAAGAAAATTGAGGGGTGGGGGAGTGGTGGACAGAAAAGTGACTTGTTTTAATGTAACAAATAGAGGTGCTTGCAAACCAAGCTCAAATTCAGTCCCCCCGTCCATTCTACACTCTTT